TTGTTGTGTTCCCACGGCGACAAACTGAATATCAACAGACAGTTGCATAGGAATATCCGTGGCAACGAATGGTTTGAAACAGCGGTAGTAAGGCATTCCCGCGGCAACAAGCAAAGAACACGTGAAAGCGAAACTTGGGAGAAAGTGTTCTCTATTCCATCCGAAACCAGGTTATAAAATTCCAGCTTCGAAGGGAGCAGACAATGACAAACTGGAATAACTAAGGAGCCACCCCCGTGTGGAAGCGGGGTCGAATACCCCCACCGTGACCCTGCGAGCTGTAGGAGGCGACGAAAAGGGAAGTCTCAGATCTGAGACAGTAAAATATGGTCGCGAGTCCCAAGGGACTCGGACCCAAGAAAGACTATTCTGGCTGGGGCCAGCAGCATATACAAAAGACAGACTCGTCCTCTCATCAGAGAGGGCACCCCACAAAAACAAGGCCGTAACTGTCAAACAGTAATAAATGTCTGGTCATGAGCCCGAGATTGGGCTCGACACCAAGACGTACTGGCTGACTGACAGTTTTGACAGTTGAGTTCGTATTGATTTTGTATCCGACTCCAGCAAGAAGAGTTCTTCGACAAGGGACCGAGACACGAAATGTCCACAGACGTTAGAAGCGATCATAATTGTACTTTCGTGTGTAAAAGCGAGAGTCAAATAAATGTCCGCTATATCCGAGATCTGAGTGAAGTAATTTGTCGCGTTACCTAGGCAACACGCGACAGCACTTATCCTGAGACTTTGGCACTTGGCCGATTTGCAATGGAATGATAAGGAGAGAAGGAAGACGGCGGGTTAATGGACGCTGTGGATTGATCTGCATTAATGAATAGATGAACATAATTTCCTGTTGATACTCCGCAGAATTATGTGTGTGTGTGTGTGTGTTTGTGTGTGGAAGAGTTTATAATTTGTAAGTGAGAATTTCGTATAGATATTTTGAAAATAATGAAAATACGTACTGAGCAAACCATTCGCATTCTGTTCATTCCAGTAGCAAAGTAAACGGGATTCTTATTCCTTAATCTTAGAATTGTCAAGATACAGAAAGCAATGGCGGCGCCACCATTATGATCACACAGCCTGGGGCTGTACGTCTGCAGCACTCAACTTGTTTACCTCTCCTTTGTTCCAGTTTGCTCTACCATGCCTTCTCTCAAAGTACACCTTTCATTTATTTATGAAATTTTAAATATTTCATTTGAAACATGCTGTTTATTTTTAACATAATTAATTCAATTGTTTCTGAGTATGTGTGAACAGCTACTGTTGCTTTAACCCCACTTACTTCGCAGTCGCGTAAGGTGAGGACCCTTCCATCAGGCCTTACAGAGATAACGAAATGTAAATTTCATTCTGTAGACTTAGCATTTAAGTGCTTAGACTGCCTGACGAGGGGAGTTACGCCATGCTACAGGCTATTGTTTACTTTTGCATAAAAAGGGAGTCCGCTTTCTTGTAACTAAGATGCACCACATTCGAAACAAAACCGCGAAAATAGACGTTGCCTTTTCAAGATAAAGATAAAGCTTCTAGGGACAAGAACTCCGTCATGATGGCACACAGGATGGAGTGGATGAAAAGTTCACGCGTCCTTACCCTTAGATGAAATATAACCCTTCACGCTCCGACCACTTTAAACCAACACTTACTGAATAAGGGGAAGTTGGGGCCAGGCGTCGGTCGGGACGTTGTGACGGAAAGAAAATCATATTTCATTCTTAATCTCTCCTACCTATATTCTTTCTTACCTTATCTTATTCTACGGTAGTGTTTCTCAACCGCGGGGCCGTGGTCCGTTACCTGGTCCGGGCCGCAGTATCACAAATGTTGAGAAAAACTGTTTTACGCTATTTTTCATAATCCTCATTCCCGTAATTTCGTATCCTTTTCGAGTTATTGCTTTCCCTCATATTCGTCTGTATTTTATTCTTCTCTTGTAACTTCTGCAGCTTCTACAGTCCCTCCAATCCATCCTTCCTGTATTCAGTCTTTCTGGTCGCGTCTGGGGCGAACTATGCAACACACATCTAGCGTCTCCCCTAAACACTTTATTGCAGTGCGCGACTTCGCCAGTCCCTGGAGTGGACAATACACGAGAGAACCCACATACAAACAAGGGTCGTGGTTAAGACATAGTTTCTTCAATCCGTAAGCTCCGAAGGGAGCAAGAAATGGAAACCGAGATAAACGAAGTCTCGTAGGTAAGCGAGGCAGAGATGGAACCTCGTGTGTTCGTTACGTTTCGAGTCTTGTTGGGAAACACTAGATCAGATTCAGGGATCCCTCTGGGTGACTAAAGTGCTCACTTAGTTATGATGTGGGCTGACTTCAGAGACATGAGTTAGCTTTAACAAGGGAACATGCAAGAAAATAGTGTGGATCAGCCAACCAGTAACGCTAATTACGCTAACTAACTCATTGTTAGGATTATTCTAGAAATGTAGGCCGCTCTGCTCAGTTCTAGCTGCCACAGAAATTTCAAGATACTCTCAGTCTCAAAGTGAACGCAAAGAAAATACCAGATTGGACTCAACTGACTCAGGAACGTTTTAAGAGCGAGGATCCTGTGAACACGGTAACAAGCTTTAGGATTTTATAAAAGAAAATAAATTACTGGACCAGCTGAGTCTCTGTCAGCTTCTCAAAGAATATTCTGAACCACAGATTGTGTTTGTTTGTTAGTTAGATGGCTAATTAGTCGCTTTTTTCCAGTGGCTCTTCTAGCACATTCATGGCCCAGGCCTCTTATTCAGTTTCGTAATAATTCTTCACAGACGGAAGGACTCCTTGGACGAGTGATCAACCCGTCGCAAGGTCGTTACCTAAACACAGGACAACACATACACAGAATAACCGCATACACACACCGAACTTCCATGCCTTGAGTGGAATTCGAACCAACGATTCCAGCGTCAGAGTAAACGAAGACAGTTCCTGCCTTTGACCACGCAGCCACTATGACTGGCGTTAGTAAGACGGTTATCCGTTTATCGCGCGACAGATCGCAAAAGGCAGCTGGCTGAATGTCGTAGTTGCCAAATATACACGTTTTTCCATCCTAGCAGTTTTAATGTCAATTTTAATGCATCATAACAATTTCTTTGTGTCATTTTTGTACGTTTATTGCTAGGGAACTCATTAATTCTTGAAACTAGACTAGGATTACAAAGGTCCAAAAGGGCTGAACTGTCATGGTCTCCAACAGTTCGCTGCATTGACGCATGCGCTCGTAACTGTCATGTTGTTTGTAAAAGGATTTTTTTAAACTATGTGACGGGTAGTTCTGATTTTTGCTTCCATGATCTGTGCATTGACTTACGAAAATTCACAGATGTATCTCTGTGGATGTCGCCTCTATTTCCGGACTTACGCAGAATGATTCTGAAGTCACGCAAAGGAATAAAGATTTACTAAAGACAAAATAAAGTTGTAAGAACAAATACGAAAGCTAATCTAAAATAGCTCTTAAAATAAATTAAGGAGTAAAAAAATACATCAAGTATCCTTTTCTCTCCCGAATCCAGAATAATTTTGTTATTTGTGTGTGTTGGTTCCACTGGTAATGACTGGTCTTCTAGCCCTGCAATAGCCGGGTTATTCCAGAAAATTGTATGCTGCACAATCTCTCTTGAGAATTAATTCATCAGTAACCTGTCAAGACGACAGGTCCATAGTCTCTTCCAAAACAGTTCCTCCACTTAATGAGATCTAGCGCTATCTCCTTCAAATGAGAATAGCCTCTTCTGTCCCCAAGGTCATTCAGCATCTTCTTATGTCTTCTTCCTCGTCTTCTGGTCACTTCTATCCGCCCCTCTATCTTTCCTTCAATAACTTCTTTTAAATGGCAGTTACTGCGCAAGATATGACCAATCCAATTAGCCTTCGGTTTTCTTATTTCGTGTAGGATATTCCTCTGCTCACTGACTCTAAATAACACTTCCTCATTCCTCACATAATCGGTCCAACTGATCTTCTCCATCCTTCTCCAACACCACATTTCGAAGCTTTCCAGGTGTTTCTGATCTACTGCCCTAAGTGTCCACTCTTGAGAATAATGCAACATATTGGTAATCGTTATGTATGAGTTATTCCTAGATAAATGTAATATATGTAAACCCGTAGGAACAGAATTCCATCATAAGTTACATAAAATTTATCGATATATATATATATACACACAAGTTAATAACACATATCTTAAAATTCCTGTTGCGTTCGTTCACTTTTGATTAATTATCTAGAACACCACACGATTTTCTGGGAAAGAAATATGCTGGCAATAGAATGTGTGCTTCATTTGCCTCTACGACTTTCTTCTCGGATTTTTCTAATTCTAATAAACATTTCGCCGGTCACGGTAGCCGAGCGGTCTAAGGCATGCACTGTCTTCGCTCGCTCGGAAGCCGGGATCGTGGGTTCGAATCTCACTCAGGGAATGGATGTTTGTGTGCGTTTTTCTGTGTTTGTGTACAGGTAGAGGCCATGCGACGAGCTGATGACCCGCCCAAGGAGTCCTACCGAATGTGCAAGATCTAGAAAAACCGAAGTGAACGGAGTTCATGGAGGTAGGCCTAGGCCCACTGGGGCTGTAGTGCCAAGGAAAAAAATAAACATTTCACGAGTTTGCGTCGCTTTGTTTGTAGCAACATGTTAAATCCTCAAGTAAGACGTCCCTTATTATTGTCTAATCTAAATTAAAATTGGAATATGTCGAGAAATTTTAGTAAAACTACCAATATAAAATGTCATATAATTCCATTCAAAGCCCCTGCAAATTCTGCATGCAGGCAGGCAGTCAGACAGAGAGATAAAGCAAACCAAACACACGCTAAGGAAATTTAGTGCGGACAAGGCAAAGAGAGTCCAAAACAAATGAAAGTATTCATTTTTATTTTAACAGTACAAATATGCTGAGAATCCTAAAGGCTTGAATCCTGAAGAAAGTGCATTATAAACTTTTCAGTTAAATTACCTTTTCTTTTATTTTTCAGAATTTGAAGGACCAGATTCTTACTACTAACGTCTGGCTAGAACATGTAAGTACATTCTAAATCCTTTCGCTTTTAAAATTCTGCAATATAAGATATTTTTACACTGTGAAGCTTACTTACTTACTTATGGAGCTGAGCCTTTCCTGAGAAGCCGCCAATTGTGCAGCCACTCAAGAATTACATTGTGCAGCTATTCAATTAAATTATACATTATTAAGTAATTAATTCCAGAATCACCCCTTTAACATATCCTCAATATTGATATATGAGACTAAACAAGTGCTGAAAAAATACTTGGAAGTTTATTCCACAATGATCAGTGCACCTTCAGTAAATTATACGTACTTTTATATTTAAAGACTTTTCTTAAACTACAGGGGTTATATGTAATCAAATTGTGGACCAATAAAATGCAGAACAATGGACGGACGAACGTAAACCGTAGTGGCCTATTTGAATGTAATGTCCTAGTGTTTATCAGGAGAGACTGAGAAAATCAACGAAAATCCTAGTCAGTATGGCCGACCTTCGAAATAATAATCGAACGAAAAAATATTGAATTCTGTTAGTCTCATATTTTTAGACAATTTTCAGTTTTCACAAGGAGTATCTGAAGTGAAAATTCTTATCGAACGTGATGATATCAGGGGTTCGCATGGCGCTGAAGAGTCAGACTGTGGTCTTCTGGGACATGACACCGTGTTGTTTTGTAGGTGGTTACCCTGCAGGGAAACAAAATGTCTCCATTTTCAGCTTCTATCCGGTTCGATTAGAGTATAGCAAGGAAAATAAATTGAAGTTTATTTACATAAACTGGAGGCAAAGAAGTGTTTTTTAACTTCGCCGAGAAAGTTTCGAAGATATCGTGAGAAATGCCATAAAATTATTATTATTATTTTTATTTTGCATGGTTGTAGCAGTAAACTGACTAGAAAAAATGTGCTTATGCAAATGCAATGTTTGTCACGTCTATGTTTGTCATTACTTCTCTCACACTGCTCAGCACCTGCAGAAGTGACATGAGAAAATATACCGGGTGTTCCCAAGAGAATGATGGGGTTTCATTGCCGTATATCTCCGTCAGTTTTTGGTGATGAAAAGCAAAACGTATACGGACTCATAACGCGGCTCTCAAATTTTCATTTTGTATATCGCGCTCTTTCCTAGTTCCATTTCCGACAGTTAGGAGGCGTGAAATGTAAGATGGCGACCCAGCAGGAGAAGGCCTATTGCGTGCTGAGATTTGAAATGTCTCAATCGATCGTTACAGTGCGCCGTGAATTTCGTGTACGTGGGGGTACGTGAAGGACATGGTTTATGTACCTCATTGCCCCAATCGCTCCAGGATCTCCGAAACAGAATCAATCGTGCTGTGGAGACCATCACACCTGAAATGCTGCAGCGGGTGTGGCAGGAATTCGACTATCGCATTGATGTGTGCCGGGTAAAGAAAGGTGCTCACATAGAGGCATTTTGATGGATGTACATAAAATTTGGACAGTTAAGCTTTCGATTGACACATGTTATGTTTGTACACGATAAGAAATACGAAATATATATGTATCTAAAACCCCACATTCTTTTAGGAACACTCTGTATTGTAGGGACCGCTCTCCCTCTCTCTCTCTCTTTTAGAAAGAATTGCTCTAGACTTTTCAGCAAGAGACAACTTCTGGCAATGTTTACACTTAACTTTCGTTACCTGTAACGTTGTCACTTAAGCTACATACAAGCGATGTAACATACTGTGATCCATAAGCTTTAAGACTTTGAAACATTCACTATCACTGCTGACACCAACAGTTCTTTATTATCAGTACAAAATGTTGCTACGTAACACTAGCCCGAATCGGTTTCATTCAGATTATGGTCTTTTGGGATGTGACACCATGCAGCTTGGTATCGATTTACCAAACTAAATGTCGCCACATCCCAAAAGACAAAGCCTTTACATGCAGTGCCATAGGAACCTTATAACTCACTCACGTCACATGCCTCGAACCTCTCTCTCCAATTTTTCTCTATTGGTCTAGTGAACTTCCATCAGTAAATTAGTCTCCAGCACAGTACATTTTCAAGGAGTTTCTCCTAAAACATATACAGGCCCTTAATTTAAGTGTAGGCCTATTTATATTGTCGACTGCCTCTGTGGTCTAGTGATCGGAGTTCCTGGCTACAGATCCAGAGGTCCGGATTCGATTCCCGAGGCTACCAGATCCTCTTAGAAGTATTGGTCTGGAACGGGGTCCACTCAGCCTCTTGGGGATAACTGAGGAGCTATTTCAAGGGAAATAGCGGCTCCAGTCTAGAAAACCGAAATTAACGGCCGTGACGATTCGTTGCGCTTACCACGTGACACACTCTGTCCGCTGAAGTTGGCACTAACTTCGTCGACAAGCGGTGTTCGCTCGGCCGGTATACTTCTCTTGCGGACTAAAACCACAGAGTTTATTTGTATTACCTACGGCTAAACTCGCGTAAATATAAATTGAATACGAGTGGCGCTCTCCTTATAAAATTGTATTATTATTATTATTATTATTAAATAAAGGAAATTACTGAATTGAATTAGTTTCACGATAACACTTTCATCATTATTAACAGATAGATTCTAAAGGGACCGGTGGATGGTGTATAACACTCGAAATTAATAGGTTTTTGAACTTTGGTCATCGTCCGATATTCTGAAAATTAGTAAACATAAAGTTTCGGAAAGTGGATCTGTCTCCATCCTCAGGTGAGGATGAGACACGTACTCTGTTGGGTTCCCTTAGAAAGAGCTAGCCTCAGTCACTGGACCTGTTGATCATTATTAAGATTTATGATCTTATCAACATTATCGTCTTTAAGATTAAAATTACCTTAGTTAAATTAATATCGTATATCCTTGTTCATTTAGTGTTGCTCCAAATAGCTCACGTCTTATAACGACGAATAATGGAATGATCAGGGAATAACAGATTGAAAAACACGTGAAGGGAAGCGGTCGTGACCAAACTTACTGAACTATCCAGGAATTTGAGATATTGGGTTTTCGGACTTTATCCATCGTCCTGGTTTTTAAGATAACTAAGAAAAACATGACGTTTCGGAAACTGGATCTGTTTCCGTCCTCAGGTGAGGGAAAACACCTATTCTGTTGGGTCGCTTAGATGGAGCTAGCCTCGGTCACCGGAGAACAGATGTCACAAAACACAAAGGTTATAAACACCTGAGACCAGGCTAAGTCCATGAAAGCTGATAAGAAAAATATACATAACAAATTGTTCCAAACACATAAAGCGTGGAACCAGGATAGATATAGCCGTAGAAATTTATGTCACGTAACCAAAACTCATAACCAGGTCCATGACCCCAAGGCATGGAATAGAAAAGAAGAACTAGTAACAAAAACTAATAGTGTCTAACTAGCGTCAACAGTGGAGTAAATCATGTCTATCTAATTTAGAACCTAATAGAAATCAATAAAAACATATATCACGTCAAACAGAATATGTGTTTTCTCTCACCTGAGGACAGAAAAAGATCCAGTTTCCGAAACGTCGTGTTTTTCTTAGTTATCTTAAAAACCAGGACGATGGATAAAGTCCGAAAACCCAATATCTCAGTGTTATACACCATCGTCAGAATCCTGTAGTAACTACTTATCCAGGAATTTGTTTGCATATACTCAGAAAAATTATTAAGCTCATGACTCAGAGTATCCAGCCAAGATTTGAAGCCGGACTTGCCAGATACAAAGCAGCAGTGCTACCAATTGCACTATAACTTTCGGTTTAAGTCTATGAAATAATGCTGTAATAAAAGAACCCGAAGTTTTAACACGACCTGGGCTGGCACCAGCCACATCGCAAGTTACTGCCCCAAGATTTCTTTATTTTATCTTCTGCATATGTTCAACGTTCACGACGGAAAATAGAGTTAAAATAATCATCAGCTGGCCACACAGAAAATCGTTGGGCAAATATTCACTCAGTAAGTGGACCAAAATCGAATCGATGTTCGAAAAAACCAAGCTCTCGCCCTGCAACAGTGAAATCCAGTGAATGAACTGATGCATGTACTGTGTGTGTGTGTCTGTGCAGGAGTGGCAAGACCACAAGTTCCGGTGGGACCCGCAGGAGTATGGCGGCGTTACAGAACTCTACGTCCCATCTGAGCATATCTGGCTGCCAGATATCGTGCTCTATAACAAGTGAGTATGACTTACTTCCTTCCATGTTTCATTCCTTTCGTGGTTAAGTTTTGTCTCGCTCCATTTACTTCTAACATGCATGGTAATGTCAGCTGCATTCTATCAGATGCCAACGTTCTTCATGTCTTCACTTTTTACCCAGATAGCTTATAGTCGGGCCAAATATGTTATGTAAGTTTAAAGGTAGGCCGCGCCATAGCTCAAGCACTTAGTCCCTGGCTCTCGACAGCGGCGGCCCGGGTTCGATCCCGGGTCTGGTTAAGTGGGATTTGTGGTGGAAAAAATGGCGCTAGGGCAGGTTTCCTCCGAGTACTTCGGTTTCCCCTGCTAATCTTCATTCCATCAATTGCTCCACAATCACCCTCACCTATCATCTGGGGCTGGTACAATAGGCCAGAAGTGGCCGCAGTACAAGGGACTTAGTCCCACCCCACTAGCAATAAAAAAAATTTGAAGATAAAATTGTCCCTATGCTTAATGAAAGGCCACGATAGGAAGCCTGAGAATTGAATATATAGCTCCAAGAAGTCTTAATCTTGACACCAGATGGCGGTGAGTGGCAATTTCAATGTCATGTGGAGCTACAAAAATGTAGGAATACGCTAGGATAAGCACACAAACAATGCATGCAGAACTTTGTAAACGTCTACCCGAAGGAAATAGAAAAATAATATTGGGAAGATAAGATTAAAATGAATCTCAGCTAGATATCTGTACGGATGGGAGGTGGATAATGTTTCCATTTACTGACTTTAGTAGTAATAATGTTAAAACTCTGTTCTGTTTCCATTGGAATGTATCTTTTATTTTACGTAAATTTAGCCATCTAAACATCGATCAGTCCAGCTGTTAACTCATTTTCAACATATTTCCGAGAGGGGCAGGAATACATTCTCCCACCCTCACATCCAAACTGGTTGTGGGAAGCGCTGTGTCTCGTACGAAATTTGTGCAGACAGATATATTCCGAAAGTAATGTTGACCACAGCGTGAAGCTGGCCGATAACAACAATTTGTAAAATCGTGATGGAAGGATCAGTGTGCCACATGCAACAAAGAAATCTTTAGTGTCACTGTGCTAGATACTGAATGAACGACAATTCTCGTAGATCTGTTGAATGATGAATTAATTTGTAGCCATCAGCCATTGTGTATATAATATGTCCATATAAACAGTACATAAATTACGATTACAACTGCCAACTTCCAAATACCATCAGATATACAACTTTTAACTGTACTTTTGACTATGTAACTGGTTATTTTAAGACCTTAACTTTTATTGTAATTTATATTGTGACATGTTGCGCAAAGCCGAGCCCCCCCCACACCAGCAGTGACGCGGCGGTGAGTCAGCGCNGCAGTCGGCGACTTCAGTTGTACAGCCGCCGAGTTATAACGTGGCCATCGCCGAAGATAGTTCCGAGCAAGCTTACGAGAGCGTGTTATCAACAGTTCTCCAGTCAGCGGACTACAGTTGGAGTATAGCAGCCGTCGCGGAAAGAAGAACCGGACGAGTGTGTGATTGTGTAATTGGGAGCGTGTGATACAGTGATACATAGCTCCCCTACTGTAAACGTGTAGACTACTGAAGACAGAGTGAACTGATTTGCGCATAGGGTTATAAGTCGTGAAACCCCGCAACAGTGTTAACAGATTAATGCGATTAGGGTTATAAAGTGTGAAACCCCGCAACTGTGTGATAATTAATTGTAGCCGTTATTTGTAGATTGTTAAATAAACCAATTAACCATCTCTACGGCCTATTCTGTAACGAAACACGTTAGAATATTTTATATTCACTTATATCATTTTATACCATTGTATACACTTGGAAGTTCAGCACTGTATCCTATATTTGACATGCAATTCAATAACAAAAAGTATAATGTATTTGCCTAATGAAGGCCTGTCGAAGGCCGAAACATGTAGCAACGTATCTCCTAGAGCTACTTACACCTATTATTGATTGTTGTGTTATGACGATTTTCAGTAAGAAATAATGATTTGTATGTGTTTCGTGGTAAAATTCCCCTTCCTATTTCTGTTCCTATTCTATTTACTTTCTCTGTAAGTGAAGCTGAGTGTCTGTTTGGAGCGTTCCTTCCTAAGTTATTTAAAAATGCTGTATCAACTGTATAAATAATTTGATGTCAACGAGATTAGGCGACGCTGTGCGCGGTGAAATTAAAAGTAATGAAGACTCAATTATCTGTTTTATTGCAATATCCTAGAATTTCCTCACGGGGATTCACAAGTGCAACATAAAACTTAGTCATCATATACTGAGACTGGAAGCGGCACCGCTCCAGATAACCTAGTGGACATTATGGTTCAGCTTAACAAGAGCTTTTTGGATTCATACTGCCTGTAGACGAAATCCACTCACGCTAAAATCCTTCGTTAGGCGAGTTCACAGTAATGGAGAAAGTTTCTTGTAATTTTATATAAAGTCCCTAGGTGCAGATAACAGATATGTAGAATAACTTTCCGGGTACCAATTAGGGATTTTGACGTTTCTCCCTCGTGGAATTCAATTAAAAATGAGTTAATTAACTTTGTAATTATTTTTCACTCTCCCCAGCTCCCTTCATCAATCAGAATCATACAACCTGACGCAAGGTGAGCAGAAGAGAGAACTCAAACTGTCAGCTGGTGGTAAAAAATAACTTCACAAAAAATTTTATTGTTTTTAAGGGGAATCTTCAAATATTATCTTGAAATTGAAGTTTCTTTTCTGAGTAAAAAAAGAGAAAGTCAATTAAGTTTCACAAAAGCAACCGTTCTAATTTAATTAGTGGATAAAGGAACTTTGGTTCGAAATTCATAAATTATTTTTGGGATAAAGGATTTTCCATACTTCCCAGTATTCCACATTTCATGTTTGGTATGTCGAATATGCGGTTTTCACAGAGGTAGAACTAAAAAGTGTGCTATTTTCTGGAAGGCAACGCTGTGTATTCCGGTAGAAGTCCAAGAGGAATTTCCTGCCCCAATATTGTGGAGAGAACATTGAGATAAGCAAGAAACCGACAAAAACCAGGTGGCAAACTGGGTTCTGTCAAAATTTCTAAAGTTGAATCTATTCCTATTGTTAACATGCATTCAAGTGTTACGCAAATCTGACATTCCCGGCCCATGCGTCGCAACTTATTAACGGCTCATGGCTTTGGACGTGGAGCCATTAATTACTTTATACTTGTCTGAACCCGTAAGCCCAAGTTTATCTCCATATCTTCTGGCACAGCCTGTTTCTAAACCCCATTTTATTCTTTTGTCATTTTGTGACTTAGGATCTGGTTCCACGTCATTACCTCTGTCTGCATTCAGGCTCCATCTGCTAGAACCTGTTTCTAGTGAAATCTAGGAGGATAAAACATCCGTAGTAACGTCTACGTTATATGGCGGTCCCTATTCAATTTTGTTTCTTTCTTCCTTCCTTGCCGTCCGTAATGTATACCGTGCTCTCTTTCTTGCTGCAGAACTTCGCGAAACATGACCTCAACTTGTGCTGATATCTGGTGCCGAGGCCAGTAAGTTGACTCATCCGTCACCCTGAATCACTCCTTACAAATCCCTCCCTCTGAGTCATCCACCTATCCAATTTCCTACGTCACGACATTGTAATCGATTCCGAAACAAAACCTTTTTCCTTATCCTGTCTTAAGGTAACTTTGCAAGAAAATATATTGGGGAGGAAGGCAGAGGTTCTTTTTGCAGCCCACAGGCAATTCTGAGATCTTCTCTCCTCCAACACGTTTCTCTAAAAAAAAAAACAATTTCCCGTTTCTCTCTAGTTTAAAAACAGCTTACGTTTATGGGATAGGCAGAAACTGTATTACTCGTACACCAAGGTGCCCAATAACAGAATAAACCTTTCGTTCACTTTAGTCTCCGTACATTGTAATGACACTCTCTCGAACCAGGATTAACGTAAAGTGTTGGGCGTAGAGACATATACTGAATCACACAAACGTAAAAAAAGAAAGCTCACCCGGTTCGGCAAATCAGGTATAATGTCCTTAGTGTCAAAAACTTAAGGAATGACATAAATTAGATCTATAAATAAACTTAAAATAAAAGGAAATAATCCGAGGATGTATTATTCAGACTGAAATAGAAACCATAGCCGTTTCAATCCGTATCCGATTTATTTATATTACAAATAAACATGCAAACCTGGAGGCATTATAAAAGACAGCATTAATCATATTTCGCCTTGTATTGTGGCACATTACGTATCAGAGACTCGTCTAAAACAGTTCAGTTCTTCAGAATATAAAATAAAGCGAAATCTACTTCTGTCTGTGAGTAATAAGTGAATTTATTTGCTTGCATAGAGGTACTATTATAGAGCAAATTACCGGCATAAATATATAAAAGGATACATAGCGAAGTTGCGGAAAGTGGAAAATTAGAATCAGCTATAACACAAAACCTTACAGGAGAAGCTTTGTGCAGATTCTCGTAACAATTGCAGAAAACGTAAAGCAGTATTTTTTATTGCTAGTTGGGTGGGACAAAGTCCCTTGTACTGCGGCCATTTCTGGCCTATTGTACCAGCGCCAGATGATAGGTGAGGGTGATTGTGGAGCAATTGGTGGAATGAAGATTGGCAGGGGAAACCGAAGTACTCGGAGAAAACCTGCCCCAGCGCCACTTTCTCCACCACAAATCCCACTTGACCAGACCCGGGACCGAACCCGGGCCGCCGCGGTGGGAAGCTAGCGACTAACGGCTTGAGCTATGGTGCGGCCCTTGTAAAACAGTAATTACCAGAGCTGCTTCATATTCTTCGGCTGAAACTCAAGCGAAAGACCAGCTATACAGTATAACTTATATCGTAGCCCCTCAAATAAGTGATTTCTGTGCGCCATTTCAAACCGAACAATCATAATCACTAGTGGAAAAAGTCCGTTCAGATTCAACGGGGAATCATTTCTTTAGTTCATTCATTTTTGCCGCCTATGTTCCTTTCTGTTTATGTCTATCCTACCTTC